CCCCCCCCATGAAGGAAGGGATCAAGGCTATCGGGGACTGTTAGCAGGCTCCTAGCGACCAGCCAGCCCTCCCAAGGACTTCAACATGTCTTCCTAGCTTTTCCCTTTTTCTGAAAGCCTCTTATCAACAGCCCCACTCCCTATGAGCAGATGACTTCTCTTCTGACTTTGCTGAAAAATGGAAACTGTGGATTCCTTGATGTTCTTATTCCTACAAATATACCCCCTCTGTACTTATTATACCTCTTTTCCTCTGGCCTCATATGAATTTCCACAGCACCCCTTTGGCCGTATCTGTTAAAGCAGTCACAGGGCCTGCTCAGATTCAAGGGTGTAGAGAAATAAAATCCAGTTTTTAATGGGACACATTGCCTAAGAGTGTGAGCACGTGTGGTGGGACATCCTGCTGTGACCATCTTCGGGAAGTACACACCCAGCCTGAAAGCATTTGCACAGCTATTTAAAGCCACAGTATAGTAATCACATATAAAACTGAGAGAAATAATAATAAATTGTTTAAAGCCACTAAATTTTGGAGTTACCAGCTTGCCCACCGCCTCAAGAAGGCTGCCTAGCAAACCACCCCAGATCCCTGTGGCTCACAATCCTGGCATTCTTAATTGCTCACAAGTCTGCAGGTCACTGGGTGGCCTGTCCATTGGCACCAGCCTGGACTGACCTCCGCTGGGACTAAGTGTGTCTGCGCTCTGCTACTTACTACACAGAGTAAGTTCATCCCCTTTCTCTTAACTCAGCTCTCACTGGCCTATACTTTCCCTCCTTTCCCATTCCTCCTATTCCATTTGAGAAGAATAAGCTGATTTTTACACCACGAATGTTAACTTATACTCGAGGGATTCGGTAAAGCTCCTAACACCAGGAGTAAGAGAACTAACAGCTAATAACATGCACATGAATTCCTCTGCATCCAGTGTGAAACAGCTGAAGGGCAGAGTAAGTGAATCGGACAACTCCAAGGTCAAGAAATGGACTTTAATGAATAATTTTGATAGAAGCGTTTTTGCACAGATATGTAGGTATAAAACACATACAAAAATAAACAAAGATTCTTTCTCCTTACATACGTTTCAGAAGCGTGACTAAGTTTGACCTGCTACATAGTTCAGAGCTTAAATCTGGAAACAAACAGACTCTTGCAGTTAAACTGGAGGCATGTGCTTACTGTCCTAACACTGGCAATGTGCTCTTGACCTTTGATTTGTTGCTCTTACTGGTAGGTTTACCTTGTACATTTTCCTGGGAAAATATACATGAAAAAAAGTATCCACATTACCCATCATTCTTCAAACATTACTTAGAAAGAACACAGTCTTAAAATAGCTCAGTTGTGAAAAACACTGACAGCATGCTGGAGTGTCATTCTTATTTTCAGGATCTTTTTGAAAAAGAGAAGAGCATAAGAAGAAAAACTCTGTCTTGACATTGGTGGGATGAGATACATCCACACAGGCCCCAAGTCCAATGCACAAGACTGTGTGCTTTAAAAGACGTCAGCATGGAGGGGAATGCGAACAGAGAAGCCAACTTGAGGACACACGTTTGTTCCAGTGCCCCAAGTTTGACCAGCACAACTCTGATAAGAATGCACATCCTAACTGCAGATATTTAACAATGACCACTTTCCTTACACATACAACATGCCTGCCCCCTGGACAGCTCCAGCCTTCACTGCCAAGGAACAGCATCACAAGAGCCCGGTCCAGGTGCCCCAGCACATTACATCATCGCAGTAGCTGTCACGGTTTCACGGGGGGAGGGAGGGCTGTCCAACTATACATTGTGCTATAGTTGCGTGGGACCATTCCAGACACGCTGAGCATTTAGCATTCCTGGCCCATTCATTAAAAACCCCCAGTTTTCAAGGGCACTGTGACAGCCAAACACATACCCATACATTTCCAACTGCCCGTTGACAGAAGCACTGAGCTAAATGATGCCCGGCTAACATCTATTAACTTGGGGACTCCCACAGAAAGAAACTGCTTCATTACCTTCAGCAACAATGACTGAAGAATGTCTCAATGGCTTAAACTTTCTTTAAAAAAGCATTGTAATTAAAAGGTGTTTGGGAAAGATAAGCTGATTTCTTCAAATTCCTGGTCATCTGAAAGGATAGGTACACAAAGTGTAATAATACTTATTTATCCTCAAATGCACACATATATTTACAGGAAAATGTTTATGTCCTACTGGCATGCCGTACCACCATCGTTAGGATAAGATACGTCCCAAAGGCCCACATGGAGATCCTGGTAGGTCCCCTCACACTGATGTCCCTGGGAACTGCTGCTGTCTTTGCTCCAAAACTTGCTGATTTAATAGTTGTTGCTGTTTCTGTAAAAACTGCACCACTTCTGGACTTCTTAGCAATGACTTAAAAAGGAAAAATGTGTTTGTCAACAGCATTCTTCTTACGGGATTAGATTGTATTCATGCTCTGAAATTACTCTGTGTCCCTGCACAAGACAGAAAATGCTTACAAAACAAAATGTGCCTGAATTCAATTCACATCTGCGCCTGATGCACTGCAATGAAACTGCAAACTAGTAACAGTACAGTATCAGGTCACATACCAAAATACTACAACCTACACATAAAGGATGAAGTGACCTTACTGTTGACTCTGCACACAGAGGCAGTGCTTACGTGCTATGCCAGCATGTACACTCTCTGTGGAGCGTAAGAGCGAAGGAACAGGAACAGCGCTGGCCCAGGATCACAGCAAGAAACAAAGGGAAATGCAAAGGGGCCTCATGTGAAAATGGCCGTTGAATGCCAGTTTGCAAATACATTTAAGACTAAAACTGGAATTTAGCTTTTTTCAACTAGCTTACTAAGTCTTTCTGAAGAAATTTAAAAATGTGTGTATGTGTATAGGTACATGGGTGTATATACAGGTATACATGTATTAATAATAGTAAGCACATTGCCAAAATTTCAGAGAAGAATAGAATTGCTCTAAAACAATCAGTACCATTTTGTACACTTAACATTTTTAAAATAGTTGTAATCATATAATAAATATAACAGACTAAGGTTAATATCTTTTTATTACAATGAAATACATGCATAAATTGATATAGAAAAAAAACCTTGGCCCCAATGAATTGAAAAAAACAAACTGAATGAAGTGGAAATACTATCATTAAATACTGATTTCAAAATTTAACATTATAGCATAGTACGTTTTCTATTGATTAAATAGTTTTGTTTAAAACTTTCTTATAAAGACTCTCAACATTCTATTAAGTAAACATGCAACAGTCTACAAGCTGTTCTGAGGCTGTGGAACTCTAGGCTGTTTACTATTTTACTATTCGTGATCAATACATTTCTGGCAACATCCTTATGCTGAACTTTACCTTATTTAGGATTTATTTCCTGTGAATGTGTTCACAGTAAGTATAACTTCTGAGTCAGAGAGACCCCTGACACGTCACGCCCACCGCTTTCTCTAGAAGTGTCATGCCGACCATCACCAGAACCGGAGCGTGCATTTCTGGAGCCCTCAACCTTGTGTGTGTGACACTTGAAGTTTTCACTTTATTGTATTGTTTCTTGTGTAATTTTTACTGATACTGAATACATTTCCATATTATTTAATGGTAGGATTTCTGCTTTCTTTTCCTGTTTATGTCATTTACAATGTATTGAGGCCAGCTTTTTCCTCATTAATTTATATGAATATTTCATGTAATAAAAATGTCAACCACATTAGTCTTCTAAATTTATTGTATTTTTCCCATATGCTATTTTGAGGTTTATATTTTTGTTTTTATTGGTTTTGGCTATTCATTTTTATGTAGTCAAATTTTTATTTTCCTTGCAATTTTTGTCCATTTCTCTTAAGCCAGAAATTCTCGCTCCAGATTTTTGAGATGAAGTCCCAATTCTGTTTTTTTTATTTAAAAAATCTTTAACATACCAGGAATTTATTTTGATAGTATGATGCAATGAACTAAATTCATTTTTGTCTTCAAATTATAACCCATTTATTCCAGTACTTATTGAATAACCTCTCCTTTTCTGATTGAATTCTGATGCCTTCTAATTTATAATAGAGATCCTTATTAAATATTGCTCTAATTGTACCTCAATACTACTAAAACATTAGTCCTTAAAAGTCTTTCAAAATCCCCTCTTCTGCATATATTCACAATTCCATCAAAGCAGACAGGGAATTAGGAGATTCCAGCATGTACTGTCAGAAGTAAAATTCAATTCTGATGGGATTAACACATTTTAACAGCTTAAAAAATCTGAACAGTTCCATTTATAACAAACAACTTTCATTACTAGATTTTTAACTACTTTACAGATACTTACCAGTCGTTTTTGATTTAACACTTGTTCTAGAAGAGTAGGTCTTGCAGGACGATCCCCAAAAGATCCTGTTCTTGGTTTAACAATGGAGAGTATGTTATCTGGACTTTCCTAGGGTAAATGATAAAAATGCAAATAGGATTAAAAGTTAACGTAATAAAATAATCCACGATTATAGGCACTGCGATGATGGAATGAACTGGCAGGCCTCCTTCTCCATTCCCTGTGGGACTTTGGCAAAGTCCCTCCCAGGCCAAGCGTTGGCAGCTACTGTTACATAATATCTGTGACGCCTCCCTCCCTCTCTTCCAGGACTTCCGACTTGGGAACTTCAGTCTCTTGGTCAATAGTGGGGCAGAGGTGTGGGGAGAAAAGCAGAGACATACGTGTGAGCTGTTTTCAGCATTACAAAAAAATGCCAAGTGAAAACTGAGCATTCTCTTCAGATAAAGCTATCTAGGACAAAGTCTATCTGCCTTCAGATGGAATATATGAGCTCAAAGGCAATTTAATATCGCTAATGAGACCCCCTGATAGTTTTTTGCCAAACTAACAAAAAAAAGGGGGCAGTAAAATATTATTTAAATAAGCAACAAAGTGGCTTTGAAAGGCCCGGAAAGCCCTGGTGTAAATCATCTCCTGTCACTGGTATAGGCCACATAGGTTAAGTCCTAAAATGATACCAAACTCTACTTACCCAAACAAAATTTGCAGCATTTACTACCAAATATGTATCCCCACTTACCTGATAGAATCTTGAAAACTTATCATTTTCCTGACATAACAAAATTATTATTCTAGCTAATTGAAACACTCCTGTAAAACCGTAATACCAACCACATCCAAGGATTCCAAGCAAATATAAAAGGAGAACTGTTTTACCCGGAAGCCTTATGTGAATTTATTCTAACCTCTTTGCTCTTCATTTAGGTTATTATCAGAGCTGATTTTTCCCTTGGCTCTTCTCTCTGCTGGCCTCTGGGCTGTCTATCAGAACATTCCTTTATCTCTTTCATTATGAGAAGTTTATCATTAAATTGAATCCCTAAACATTTTAGGCCTCTACATGTAACAGACTTTAAAAATAGGATTCAAATACTTGGAGAAAACAAAAATCACTTCTTCCTCTCTCGCCCTCCATGGGATTAACTACTTACGGGACTGTTTCATTTGTAAGTGCACAAGAAATGGGATGCTGAGACTGACCTGATGGCAAAGTACCCTTTATTCTCACAACACCGGACAAAGCAGATTCACAATGCCAGTATTACAATTCATAGCAGCTTGTAGTATAGTAATCATAAGTTATCTAGTCCAAACTTCTATAAATGTTGGGAGTTGACTTTTCAAAATTTTTCAATGCTTTTTATTCTAAGGAGTGTATCAACTTTTGAGGCACACCATTTGGTTTTGAATAACTCCAATATTTGGATAGCTTTTCCTGAAGTTGAGCTGAAATAGTATCCCTTGTTATTTCACCTAAGGGTCCTAGTTACTTCAGAACTATGCAAAAATAAATCTGCTTCTTCCAAATGACGGCCTTTTAGATATTTAATGCTAATAATCAATCCCCAGGTCAATTCTTTTATCCCTAGTTCCTTTATGCATCTCTCATGCAGCACAATTTTTAGATATATAGACTAAATATTACATACATCTGTTCCTTATTTAATTAGATTTGCGTAAGAAATACTGATTCTAAATAATTTTCAATCTTGCTGTTTACACTATGACAGATGCCCATCACCACCTACCAGTCCTACAAAATTATCCCCTAAGGAGTCTCTACATCTACAGGGCATTGACTTGAAGCCCCCTCATCAGAACTGGAGCACCCTTGACTTCCTCATTAGAACCGTTCATTTGAAGGCTCCAAACCTAAGTCCCACAGCCCAGCACTCAATACCATACAAAAACTGGCTTCAACTCTTTCCACATTTTTCTCTCCTGACTTTTCTGCAGAAGTATTCCACATTAGCTAGAATGGCCCCCCTTGCCGTCTCCCCACGTCTCTCCCCAGTTCCCTTTCTTTGCGAAGACGCGCTTCTCTTTCTTTTACCCACTACAGTCCTAGGGACGTAGCGCTGGGTGAGAGCAGAGGCTCTGCAGTCGGACTGCTTGGGTTTGAGCACCTGCTGGCTGTCTGACGTGGCCGAGTCACTTAACTTCTATGCCTCACTTTCCACATATGTCAAATATAGTGCCTACCTCATTGCTGAAGGGCAGGGCCTTCCATTTACAGCTTAGTATCTGCCTTTTTATACATTTTCGTCAAACTGTAGATATAAATGCTGGGCAGTTGCAAAAAATAAAGCAGCTATATATAGAATACTTCTTTTTTAAAGTGAAGTATATTCTCTGTAAGGAATTCTGAAGTGAATGGGTACCTTTGGAACATATGGGTAATTTCGGAACGTACAGACGGACGACCAGCCACTTCCTTTCCATTCTGTAATAAGTGAGCTGCTTATTTCCACAATGCCTTTTAACTCGGGATTTAGTAAAATATATTATTTTACAAGGATATGAATTAAGAACGTTTTAAACCTAAGATCCACAGGGGTCCTGTCCTGAACTCCATGAATGTTTATGCAAAACTGAATACCTACATATGTACATTTTTTTCAGGTAAATGGCTTCATCAGATTTTCGGAAGTCCTTTTAGCCTAAACAGGTGAAGACTCAATGGGATAAAAAGGAAGAGAAGTCACTCAGACTCTAATCAGTGTGAATTAAGTGTGATATGTTGGTTGACTGTAGTATTTATAAGTATTTAGAACATACTTATAAACAATTACAAAGTCTAAAATTTTATTAATGAGACAGCTGTTAAAGCCCAGGCCAAAATCAAGAAATGCAGACTTTTAGAATACATCTGAGGATGGATGTGAGTTCTAAAAATTATTTTCTGGATCATTTTTAACAAAATTCTATTTATCTCTGTACTGAGGAATTACAGCTCTGTACTGAGGAATACACAAAGGATGAAATAGTTGCTTATCTCTAACAACTTCAAAGTATACCAATAGTGACAACAATAATGACTAAGGTTTACTGATTTTTACCATCTGCTGGACACTGTGTGAACACCCAGTACGGGCTATCTCATATATTCACATCAACATTATGAACTAGGTACTATTTCAATACTCATTTTACAGATGAGGAGGCTGAAGCTTAAAAGGGTTTTGAGAACCTGTTCGAGACCAGACAGAAAATGATGGAATGAAGATTTACAACCAGAGTCCAACTCCAGAGTGCTGGCTTTAGCCTTCAAGACACTTCAAAATCAAACAATCAAAAAATCATCTAAGACTTACACTCTGTTATTCAATTTTTTTTTTCTCTCGGGGTACTCAGAAAAAGGGTAGCGAGGCCAGGGTGTTAAGAACAAGGTATTCTGTGTTACTGAGGATAGGGTACTAAGCATGGAGGTGCTGAGAACAGTGCATTCAGTATAAAAGCACCGGGAACAGGGTACTAAGAACGGGGTAGAGAAAAACAAATTAACCTTCTCCTAAGTAGCACTTTCACGTAGGTCCCTAAGTCCGCCCGCCCCTTCAGTGATGCGCCAGGTCAGTCATTTCCTATCTATCCCTCCAGCCCACACCCCACTTCTTTGCAGTGACAGCTCTGCTGACGTCACATCACTCGCTGACGCTTATTCATCACGAGGATGGGACACAAGTGCCAGGGCTTTGCGCGCGTTCGCACAGGCTAACCCGGGGAGAGCATTCGCCGCCTTTCTGCCCCCCCGGCCGGCCACGGCGACCCGGCCCGTCTGGGGGCCTCCTTCCGCTCCCCCCCCCGCACCCCCGGCCGAGGCCGGGTACCTCCAGCTTGACGTTCCCCGCGCCGCCGGCCGGCGCGGCGCCCCCGCAGCTCTGGGCCTGGTCGCTCTTCTTCTTCTTGTACTTGTCCTTGTACATCTTGTTGCGGTGTTTCTTGCACATCCACGGCTTGCGCTGCTTGGCCACCTGGCTCGTGGTCTCGCGGCAGCCCTCGTAAGTGCACGTCTTGCTCACGCAGCCCCCGCCGCCGCCCCGCCGCCGGGCTGCCCCGGGGCCGCCCTCGCCCCCCGACAGCAGCCCCTCGTCCTCCGGGTCCTCGAGGCTGGCCGCGCTCTCGCCCCCGCCCGGGCCGTCCGCGGCGTCCAGCAGGTCGGCCTCGTCCTCCGCCGCCTCCTCGCCGCCGGCCGCCGCCCCTTCGCACAGGCAGCCCGGGGCCCCGGCCGCGCCGGCGCCGCCCCCGAGGGCCGCAGGCTCACCGGGCCCGCCGCAGGGCCGCATCACCAGCAGGGCGAACTGCGGGGCGGCGGCCGCGGGGAGGGGCGCGCCGCTAGCGCCCGGCCCCGCGCCCTCGGCGGCACCCTGCACCTCCGTGCTGCTCAGGCCCGGAGGGGCCCGCGACCCCGGCACCCCTAACACCGCCCGCCCTCGGTGACGCCAGAGGTATAGGCGCGAGCTCCGCGGAGACACCCGAGCGCGCATGCGCGGCGCCAGCCCGCGCATGAGCGTTGCCACGCCCGGGGTCTTTCCGGAAACCCGGCGGCCCGGAGGGGCAGGGCTGAGCGGCCGCCGGAGGCACTGGCTGCGCATGTGCGGCTCGGCGCCTGGGGTGGTGCTGAGCGCGCGGGCGCTGCGGCAGCCTGGACGGTGTGTGCGGCTTCTGTGTCCCTCTCGGCGCACCTGCTGGAAAATGCTCCCAAACATCCCAAAGCGCTTTTGACCGGGCTCCACAGTGTAAACTGAGACTGTTTCCGGCCAGTCTTATGACTTGTGGCATTAGGGCGCAAATCATGACGGTGTTTCGCCTCAAACTGCCTGAACCGGGAGATGTTCAGCTGGCGTGTGGTGGTGTCACGACCCGGCACCACCAGTCAGACGTCTACGCAGGCAAAGCGGCCTCTGAAAATGGTGCCCTGAGTGGACCAGGCCTTGGGGTATTTGCGTGGAGAACTGAAATCTACTCTTGACAGACTTTTCTCTCTTGGAAACGTATTTATTTGATTTTCAAAACTGGGCCCTTTGCTATGCCCTCTAAGGTAAGTCTTAAATAACGTTTCCATTAAATACAATGAGAATGTGTGAGAGGGAACACTGAACGATAAACATTCCAGAAACCGTGAAGGATCCATAATTTCTACAGTTGTTGCACTAAATCTTGACTTAGCCGAATCTCAGGGGGAACAGATCCTGCCATGTCCTGAACAAAATTGTCAGGCAGATGTGCTCGTTCCGCTTACTCCTTCCTCTCCCAGTCAGGTTTCCCATGTCACCTATTAGAATGGAAAGCAATGACCATTCATTCACATTAAGGGGCGGGGGATGTTGGCGTGCGGTAGACCGCCAGCTACATTTTAAAGAGAGGCACGGTGGAAGGGAGAAATTTTGGGGTTAGACACACTTGAGGGCACCATCCTGTGTGACCAGGGCCAGGGACAGCCCCTCTCTGAGCTGCTGTTTTCTCATTGGTAAAATGGGCAGTCCAGTCCATGGTATTCTGGAAACGGTTGATGAGAGCCAGTTGTTAAAAACTCAGAAATTTCATAAACTGGAAGTTAAACACTGCTCTTATTAAAAATCAAATTACATAAACTTAGAATTATGTTAAAAACAGAGGTTAAATTAAAAACTCATCACTTGCTAATTGTTTTCCTATGTCTAACTATTCACATTATTTATAAGATTATTTGTGTCTACTGTATCCATATAGGGAAATATCAAAATTTCAGCCAAGAAATTGCTTACATCATTAAAGAACAAGTGACATGCTGGCATACTCTTCATCGTTTCACTTCCTTCTTGCCTGTTAGGATAAGCAGCGTTCATGTCAGAACTACACCCTACGTCAATCACAACAACTTCCTGGCTGCGTCTCCCTGCCACGAATGAAGAGTTCTGGCTCCTGGGGCTCCTACTTTGTCCCACTGTTAGCAAGACAGCTTCAGCAAATCTCTCGCCTTCCTAAGGAAGATTCAGGCAGCCCCTGTTATTGCCCGAACTCCAGGGTATACATGTACAATTTCTCCAAACTGTTATTTCTAAGCTCAACACATGTATCTTGAAAGGTGCAAGCAGAGAAACTCACAGTTCACCTGTTACTCCCTTCAGAGAAATCCTCTCTCTCTTCAGTCTCTTTCACTTGGGTCCCTCTCAGTTTCTTATGTGAAAATGGGAGCTGACAGTGGGTGATGGGTCTCAGGTTTGGGACACTCTGTTGTCCTGTCACCTGGCACCGAAGTGTGGGCTCTTACCACCTGTTGTTTCCATCTTTGGGGACTCACTGGCAACGGCAACAGAAAGGGAAGTAGTTGTGATTCGGAAGTCAGAGCTTGTGTCACTTAGATTGTCCGTATACTTTTCTCATGGCCTATTAATTTCTCATTTGTTCCTGCCACTTGTCACACAGGAGGCTCCATGCTAAGTCACCCCTCCATCAACCTGTTTGTGTACTGTTCATCACTACCACATTCCCAATTCCTTCAGTTTATGTTACTATCGCTGTTACCAAATCTGTGCAAACAGGTCTCCATGAGTTGCACTAAAGGAGAGAGAGATAGTAGTTTGGGATAATATTGAATATGGAGATGTTAAGAAAGAAAATTCACAGATGCATAATGGAGTCACTTAAATTATGGCCCCCATGTCAGTAAACCAAGAGTTAATGTCTAACTTAACTTCAGTTTCAACATTCCTTCTGGATCGTAATCTTTAACCAGCCACTCTGGAATTTCCTGGAGGCAATCTCTGGGAGACCTTCCTGTTTAGGAGGGCAACCTTGGCTAAACATCACATTCCTTGCTAATAAACTCCTTTCTTTTTTTTAGGCTGTCTTTGCCTTTAAAAAACCTTTCATTCCTATAAACTATTAGCGTTCCTGCAAACTACTGCTTGCAAGAAGGGATGCTGCCGGATTCATGAATATTTTAATAAAGCCAATTATATCTTCAAATGTACTTGATTGAGTTTTTTTTTTTAACAGATCTGGTGGCAACAGTGGGATCTGAAGCCTACTGCTGATGGCATTTGGAGAGAATGAAAACCATAGGTGTGGCATCCCTTTTGAGTTGATTCTCTTTCTCACAGTTTCTGAGGGCCATTGGTAAGTTCCTCTCTGTTGAGCTCAGCTGTATTTTGTGTGTTCTAGCTCCAGCTGATTGGCTTTCCAGCCAAGGGCTAATGGGTCAGTCTAGACTGACAAAAGTTTAATGAAGAGCCAGTCCTTAGCCCTTAGTTCAGTTTGCAATTCTCCCACTGTTTGGAATCCCTTGGCCAGAGTGTCCGCATTTCCTATGTACAGGGGCTTGCTGGATTAATCCGTTCCCCAGGCCCAGTCACAGCCTCACTTACTGGAGTCGCTGGTTCATCCACACTGGGAAATTGCTCGTGGTGTGCACAGGGCCTCTTCTCGGCCAGTCCACAGTGACATCTACTGGTTATGGCTGGGATGTTGAGGCACATATGTTTGTCTTGTTTTGTATAAATAAAGTCTATTGCTAGTGGGGATATCAGAGGCTAAAAAGCAGCAGAAACTGGTAGGCACAGGTAGAGAATTTAAGAGATATTCAAGGGTCATCACCTCATTCAGTGATGCCTATGTTAGGGGAAGTTATTCACAGAATAGGTTTGATTAACACTAGGTCACCTGTCAACCTCAAGAAAATTTGTGTACAGTGAGGTACACTGTAAAACATGTATGATCTCCAATCCATGGCTCATTGCTTTTAGGTATTAATTTGGTTCTGAGATATCCAAAGGCTTAGCTAATGGGGCCTATAAATTCTAAAGAGTTAAGCTCTCCAACTTCCAGCACACCCGCTTATTTCATGTCTAAAAACTGCTGGTGGAGGCTGAGATCATTGACAGAAATGGCAAAATTTTACTAAAAACAACCTAGAATTACAGCAGCCATGATGAGGAAAGTTCCAATGAGACAGGATCATTTTAAAAGTGCACTTAAAAGCAAAGCTTTCAAAATTACAAAAATACAGCTTGATTGAAAATTTCATTGCAAAAAGCTGATTAAAAAACAAAAACAAAACCCACAAGAGGTATCTAATACAAAAGACTGATGTAATTCTTACTGCTTCCCTCTGTCCTCTAACTAGATGACTAGAAAGACCATAAACAAAAGTCTGCAAAGTTAATCACCTTACAGACACCCCTGTATCTACTTTAACATCTTCCCAAATGCAAAAAATAGCTCCTCAAATGCAACCCAATTCTTTGAAAAATTAAAGTAACTGTCTTTATTTTAGAAATCTTCACAAAACCAAAATGCAGCTCTAGAGGATTTCAGAATTCATCTGTTCCTTTACTGAACCCAAAACCTCCCCAGTTTATCTAAAAAAGGCTTGTAAATTACTGGCCTTATAAATTCCATTCTCTGTCCCTTGAAGTTATAAATTTCATCATGTCTTTGAAATGTAAACACAGCCCACACTTGCCTGAGCCTGGGGAAAAAATGTTGGTGGTAGGAAAGGCCGTTGTAAAGTACAAAATGCTTGAAGACCTCTCTTCCCAGACCACAGCCTCCCCGAAGACAAATACAAATCTTCAGAAGTGATATCTTCTCCACAGATATTGATAACTATAAGGTCTCTTGTGTTTTTCTATATGTTCAAATATGTCTATAGATATGTATTGCAAATGTGTGATATTTTTCTACCTCCAGATGGTATAACTAAAATTAATTTGTAAAAGATCTCTTTAGTTGGTTTGAAGGCAAGCCCTTTGTAAGGATTGGCTATTCTAAAATAAACTTAGAATTATGTTAAAAACAGAGGTTAAATTAAAAACTCATCACTTGCTAATTGTTTTCCTATGTCTAACTATTCACATTATTTATAAGATTATTTGTGTCTACTGTATCCATATAGGGAAATATCAAAATTTCAGCCAAGAAATTGCTTACATCATTAAAGAACAAGTGACATGCTGGCATACTCTTCATCGTTTCACTTCCTTCTTGCCTGTTAGGATAAGCAGCGTTCATGTCAGAACTACACCCTACGTCAATCACAACAACTTCCTGGCTGCGTCTCCCTGCCACGAATGAAGAGTTCTGGCTCCTGGGGCTCCTACTTTGTCCCACTGTTAGCAAGACAGCTTCAGCAAATCTCTCGCCTTCCTAAGGAAGATTCAGGCAGCCCCTGTTATTGCCCGAACTCCAGGGTATACATGTACAATTTCTCCAAACTGTTATTTCTAAGCTCAACACATGTATCTTGAAAGGTGCAAGCAGAGAAACTCACAGTTCACCTGTTACTCCCTTCAGAGAAATCCTCTCTCTCTTCAGTCTCTTTCACTTGGGTCCCTCTCAGTTTCTTATGTGAAAATGGGAGCTGACAGTGGGTGATGGGTCTCAGGTTTGGGACACTCTGTTGTCCTGTCACCTGGCACCGAAGTGTGGGCTCTTACCACCTGTTGTTTCCATCTTTGGGGACTCACTGGCAACGGCAACAGAAAGGGAAGTAGTTGTGATTCGGAAGTCAGAGCTTGTGTCACTTAGATTGTCCGTATACTTTTCTCATGGCCTATTAATTTCTCATTTGTTCCTGCCACTTGTCACACAGGAGGCTCCATGCTAAGTCACCCCTCCATCAACCTGTTTGTGTACTGTTCATCACTACCACATTCCCAATTCCTTCAGTTTATGTTACTATCGCTGTTACCAAATCTGTGCAAACAGGTCTCCATGAGTTGCACTAAAGGAGAGAGAGATAGTAGTTTGGGATAATATTGAATATGGAGATGTTAAGAAAGAAAATTCACAGATGCATAATGGAGTCACTTAAATTATGGCCCCCATGTCAGTAAACCAAGAGTTAATGTCTAACTTAACTTCAGTTTCAACATTCCTTCTGGATCGTAATCTTTAACCAGCCACTCTGGAATTTCCTGGAGGCAATCTCTGGGAGACCTTCCTGTTTAGGAGGGCAACCTTGGCTAAACATCACATTCCTTGCTAATAAACTCCTTTCTTTTTTTTAGGCTGTCTTTGCCTTTAAAAAACCTTTCATTCCTATAAACTATTAGCGTTCCTGCAAACTACTGCTTGCAAGAAGGGATGCTGCCGGATTCATGAATATTTTAATAAAGCCAATTATATCTTCAAATGTACTTGATTGAGTTTTTTTTTTTAACAGATCTGGTGGCAACAGTGGGATCTGAAGCCTACTGCTGATGGCATTTGGAGAGAATGAAAACCATAGGTGTGGCATCCCTTTTGAGTTGATTCTCTTTCTCACAGTTTCTGAGGGCCATTGGTAAGTTCCTCTCTGTTGAGCTCAGCTGTATTTTGTGTGTTCTAGCTCCAGCTGATTGGCTTTCCAGCCAAGGGCTAATGGGTCAGTCTAGACTGACAAAAGTTTAATGAAGAGCCAGTCCTTAGCCCTTAGTTCAGTTTGCAATTCTCCCACTGTTTGGAATCCCTTGGCCAGAGTGTCCGCATTTCCTATGTACAGGGGCTTGCTGGATTAATCCGTTCCCCAGGCCCAGTCACAGCCTCACTTACTGGAGTCGCTGGTTCATCCACACTGGGAAATTGCTCGTGGTGTGCACAGGGCCTCTTCTCGGCCAGTCCACAGTGACATCTACTGGTTATGGCTGGGATGTTGAGGCACATATGTTTGTCTTGTTTTGTATAAATAAAGTCTATTGCTAGTGGGGATATCAGAGGCTAAAAAGCAGCAGAAACTGGTAGGCACAGGTAGAGAATTTAAGAGATATTCAAGGGTCATCACCTCATTCAGTGATGCCTATGTTAGGGGAAGTTATTCACAGAATAGGTTTGATTAACACTAGGTCACCTGTCAACCTCAAGAAAATTTGTGTACAGTGAGGTACACTGTAAAACATGTATGATCTCCAATCCATGGCTCATTGCTTTTAGGTATTAATTTGGTTCTGAGATATCCAAAGGCTTAGCTAATGGGGCCTATAAATTCTAAAGAGTTAAGCTCTCCAACTTCCAGCACACCCGCTTATTTCATGTCTAAAAACTGCTGGTGGAGGCTGAGATCATTGACAGAAATGGCAAAATTTTACTAAAAACAACCTAGAATTACAGCAGCCATGATGAGGAAAGTTCCAATGAGACAGGATCATTTTAAAAGTGCACTTAAAAGCAAAGCTTTCAAAATTACAAAAATACAGCTTGATTGAAAATTTCATTGCAAAAAGCTGATTAAAAAACAAAAACAAAACCCACAAGAGGTATCTAATACAAAAGACTGATGTAATTCTTACTGCTTCCCTCTGTCCTCTAACTAGATGACTAGAAAGACCATAAACAAAAGTCTGCAAAGTTAATCACCTTACAGACACCCCTGTATCTACTTTAACATCTTCCCAAATGCAAAAAATAGCTCCTCAAATGCAACCCAATTCTTTGAAAAATTAAAGTAACTGTCTTTATTTTAGAAATCTTCACAAAACCAAAATGCAGCTCTAGAGGATTTCAGAATTCATCTGTTCCTTTACTGAACCCAAAACCTCCCCAGTTTATCTAAAAAAGGCTTGTAAATTACTGGCCTTATAAATTCCATTCTCTGTCCCTTGAAGTTATAAATTTCATCATGTCTTTGAAATGTAAACACAGCCCACACTTGCCTGAGCCTGGGGAAAAAATGTTGGTGGTAGGAAAGGCCGTTGTAAAGTACAAAATGCTTGAAGACCTCTCTTCCCAGACCACAGCCTCCCCGAAGACAAATACAAATCTTCAGAAGTGATATCTTCTCCACAGATATTGATAACTATAAGGTCTCTTGTGTTTTTCTATATGTTCAAATATGTCTATAGATATGTATTGCAAATGTGTGATATTTTTCTACCTCCAGATGGTATAACTAAAATTAATTTGTAAAAGATCTCTTTAGTTGGTTTGAAGGCAAGCCCTTTGTAAGGATTGGCTATTCTAAAGCTCTCAGAAATATAGGAACTAACCCAAATGTTTTTCAAGTTCACATGATCTGAGATTGATTTTTTAATAGGTAAAAGCTAATTAAAGTTGTTGGTTTAATTAAAATAAGCATCTTTAAAAGTATCAACATTAAATATAAACATTTAGTCTTCCTAGGTGTTTGAAGAATAAAATTATGTTATCCCTTATAAAATTTGTCAACAGTAACTTGGTATGAAAAAACTTAAAAATAGGAGGCAGAGCCAAGATGGTGATGTGAGTAGGACAGTGGGAATCTCCTCCCAAAAACATATATATTTTTGAAAATACAACAAATACAACTAATCCTAAAAGAGAGACCAGAAGACACAGGATAACATCCAGACTACATCCACACCTGTGAGAACCCAGCTCCTGGAAGCGGGTAGGATACAAGCCCCGCCCCACGGGACC